CCTTGCCACTGTGTCTGCGTCCGACCCTCAGTCCGAGTCCGTCGTGTCGAGTGAGTGAGTGTGTGTGTGTGCTCTCACTCTCTCCCCCTCTCTCCTCTCCCTCGGCTCACCCTCAGCCTCACGCTCGTTACAAGTCTACTACTACTATTAAAAAAAAGAAAAACATTGCCTCAGCTCTTCTGTGATTGAGATCCAGCAAATGATGCTTTACAAATCCCAGAAAAAGTCCACAAGTAAAACTTCATCGAAATAAAATAAAAAGTTAAAAACTATTCGCATCAGTTTTTGTTTGATTGGCTGGGGCGGGGTTAAGTGCTCATACTGGGGCTTTAACTTCACCCCAGTCCACTTTGCTGTTCGGTTGAGCGTTTGCCTCCTGAGCGGGAGGTTGTGTGTTCTTTCTATGTTCGCATAGCCGTTTGGTCGAGTATTTGCCTCCTGACCGGGAGGTCGCGTGTTCGATCCTTGTGGTCGGTTCGTGGAGGTCTATGTTCGCATAGCCACGACTGTGAGGGCGACTAATCTTTCCTTGACACTGTAGCTGTATAATGAAGCTTCAGTTTACACTCTCCAATGGTGATCATTCCCTTTTTGTGAAATTGCGAAAGTCATGAAGCTTCAGTTGGCACTGTCCAATTGCGATTGATTGGTTGATACAAGCTCATCACCTGAGAAAAAAGGAGACAAGAAGTGTGGCGCATGAGCGCCCTCGATCGTGGATATGGACACTTTGTGTTTTTCTGTGAGATGTAATGCCTTGCACAAAGCTTATGTTACTGCCTTTTTTTTTTTTCTTTTGTAACAGAGCCTTATGGCTCCAGCTTCTATACCCATTCTGGGGAGCATCAGTCCGGTTCCTATTCCACCGGCGAGTCAGAAGACAACACACAACATACACAAACTCTTCTCCCCTTTTGGTATAGAGAACCGAGTGGGCGGCATAGATTGCTTCCAGCCTGGAAGGATGTACCTCCCCTCACCCCTGCCTTAGTTAGCCTGTAGCTGCTAGACCGCTATTCCCTGTCCTGTGCTCCGGTTTTGAAGGTACTCGCCATCTTTTGTTCGAACTTCGAACGCCTGCTAAAACCCAAACCCTCGGAGCTTCCAGTAGTCTGGGAGTCCCCCTCCCATTGTGGGCCGCTCCAAGCCCCCCTCCGAGGCTCTGGTGTCTCACCCATGCGTGCAGGCCACTGCGTTACACAACGCTGGCTGCACAGGATAGCCTGGGTGGTCGACTGTCTCAGCTGTTATTTGACTGGCTTTTTTTTTTTTTTGCTGAAAGTTCAGCCCATAACAGCTCTTCGAAGTTCAAACTCATACAGAGAGCTGAGATAGAATTTCACAAATGTGGCATCAGATTCTCTCTCTTAGTGCCCTTCCCCCCCTCCACCCCGTCTCTCTCTCTCTCTCTCTCTCTCTCTCTCTCTCTCTCTCTCTCTCTCTCTCTCTCTCTCTCTCTCTCTCTCTCTCTCTCTCTCTCT